GGTGAAAGAGGGTGTTTATTTGTTTATTTGAGGGCCCCCCTACACAAGGCTTCTCAGAAGCCTAGCAGAGGTTTTCACATGTCTTACAGCACACAAGGTCATCCACTGCACTCACAGGAATGCCATTTAACTTTGCCTTTCCCTAACCCAGGTGCCACTCCTAATAAAGGCCACAGCCTTGGAATCAGGATGAAGCTGGAGGCTGAAGGAGCCCGGCCCGCTCAGGAAAGGGCAAGTAGCTGCCTTGGTGGGATTTGTCCCACATAACTCCGGACTCATACTTTGGTTTTGGTTTTCTTCATTGTAGCTGACTGAGAGGCTAACAGGCCATCACGAGGCCCTCCGAGGCAGACTCATTTCAGGTGCAACGTGGATTCCCATCACTGATCATGCAAAAGATAAGTCAGGGGCCACGGCCTGGAGATGGGATGATGGGAGAGTAGTGGATTGGGAGTTCTTGGGGCAGATTTAAAGATTAGCAGAGGGAAAAGCAATCTTCTCCAAGGGCCTCTTTAGGACGGCTAAAGGGAGAGGCTCTACTTTTGATGGCAGCTTTCAGGCGGGCAGTGCAGAACAGCTCTGGTCTGTGTCTTGTTGTCCGGTGTGCTGTGTTCCCTGGTGTGTCTTTGGGGTCCCTTTTGCCTTCTCCCCTCGAGGCCCTCACCACAAGCATGATGTGTCGTGTTTCGTGTCCCCCTGTTTGTCACGTTCTGTGTCACGGGTGTCTGCACTTTTTTGTGCCAGAGCTGTTTTGCCCTGCTGCAATAGGCCTGCTGCAATGGGACAGGCCTGGGGAGTTGAAATTTGTAATGTGGGGTGTACATGGGCTCTAGATGCTATTCCTAGATTGACATAAGGTGTTTGCAGCTTGTGAGTTATCCTGGTGGTGTTTGATGTACTTTGTAACTTTCTTTCAGGTGCAGATGCATTCCATGTGTGGCAGAGGGTCAGGTTTAGGAGGTGCTGGTCCTTCCTAGGAGCGCGGTGAGTAGCAGAGTGGTGGGGTTTTGGCTGATGTGGTGCCAAGACCAGACACTGATGTTTGGTTTTCTTTAATACAGCTGTCTGGGAGACACCAGCCCGGTGCAAGCAGGGCTTTCCTAGGTGCCGAGGTGGCCTTTCTTTGCACCTGAGACCAGCATCCCCTGATGTCTGAGAGATAAGTGGAGGGCTACGGCCCACAGAGGGGATGGAACCAGAGTGCTGTTTTGGGAATTACTGGGAGAGGTTCTGGTGTGTCGGGTTAATGAACTTCTATGGTTTAATATAGAGGTGAAAATAGAAATAAATATACATTTAAAAATAAATATGAAATTATAGTGGTAGACATAAATATAGATAACAGATACTTAGATAAAACTATAATATATGGTATATAATTGTAACATTTTCATGTAGAGAAATGATAGTCTCTTATATATATATACACAAAGATATATAAATATACATAGTAAATATAAAAATATTTAAATAGAGTTAAAATAAATTGGGGGGTTTTATTAGGTTATAGGCCGGGGTTTTTAAATAAATGATAGAAATAAAATATCAATTCAGATATACAAATATATATACAAATGCAAATCTCTGTAACAATTTATTTAAAGAAATATAAATAAATGAAATCTATAATACAGAAAATATATATCTATTATTATTTTAGAAGGTATTCTCTCTAATATATATAATATCTATGAATAAAATAAATTAAAATATCCATATGAATATCATTTTAATTTTGAAAAATCAATTTACTTCCTACATTTTTAAATCTGGTTCAAATAAAGGGGCGTCCTTGCTTTTCATTTGGTTAGAGGCAGGAGTTTTATTTTAAATTATATAAGTAATATAGAAATGTGGATCTTAAGATAGAAATATGTAATACATATATAAGGAGAAATTGCTAAAATATGAATATAAATTTATATATAAATATATGTAAGTAATATGAAGAGTTGTAGTGTAGAATGTAAATAACATTATACGGCAATATAAATTATAAATGGGAATATAAATATAAAAATATGTAAATATAGCTTAAAAGAAAGGGAATGTTTTGGCTTTTATTTAAGTAGAGGCAGGGGTTTTATTTTGAATGTTCCAGAAGTAAAAATCTTGAGGCAGAAATATTTAATCAATATAAAAAATATGAATAAAAATATATAAAAATTCATAAATAACTACTCGCATGAGATGTCATATAGAATATAAATTTATTTTTAACTTGACATTGGTAAAGATAAATGTATAAGTAAGCAATAGACATTAATATACCTTATAAATACAAATATGAATATAAAAATTGAACTTTAGGATAAAGTCTATTTAAATATTGTTTACAACAAAGGGTTGGGGTTTTTTTTATTCCTATTGTGTTAGAGGCAGGGTTTTTATTTCAAATAATATGAATGTAGATATTATTGTTATTTATTTCTAAATATGGAGATATACAATCGAGATATAAATATATATATAAAAACACAAAATATAAAGAAATACCAATAATAGGAAGAGATGTAATGAAGAATACAAATAACAGTATACATAAGTGTACATTTTAAACGTAAATATGAATATGAACCTGAAAACTAGAATTTTAAAAAATATTTGAATACAGTTGAGAAGAAAGGGGTTCTTTTTGGCTTTAATGTGGATGGAGGCAAAGGTTTTATTTTAAATAATGCAAGTGTTACAGAAGTAAAAATCGTAACAGAAATATATACTTACTATGTAAAAATATGTATAAAAATATACAAATAAATTTAAGTTTTAGGGATATATGCAATATGGAATAGAAATGTATTTATAAAAAGAAATGTATAAATGTACAGTGTACATCAATATACATTGTAAATAGGAATGTGAATATTAATAGGAAAAAACTTTTTAAAAAACATTTAAATATTTTTTAAAAGAAATTGTTGGGTTTTTGGGGTTTTTTTTGTGTGTTGTATTTTGTTTTGTCTTTTATCCTATTAGATTAGAGGCAGAAGTTTATTTTTCCTCTTCCCCGTTGTTTTGGGGCATTTATTTCAGAGCAGTTTTCGGCGGGGGCCGCCCCTGTTCTTTTTCGCCGCCTTCCCTGCCCAGAGCCCCGAGGCGCGCTGCGCCCCCGGCTGGGGCGTGCGGCAGTGCTGCCGCCTTGTGGGCAGAGCGCGGTACTGCAGCCCTGCACCGAGAGGCCGCCACCTTGGGAGTGGCGCGTCACGGGTGTCGTGGACTTTTAATTGACCTTCTCAGCATGGCGGCGAAAAGGGCGGGGAAGTGGAGGACCGGGGTGGGTGTAAGTGGACTGCCTGCACAGAATACTGACGTCATGGCGGCTCCGACGGATTTTTCTGTGGCGTTTCATGTGTACCCGACACATGCTGTGGGCTCAGCGGCGCCGCGGGCGGGGTAGTTTGGCGGGTTTGTGCCAGGCATCTGGGTTAAACGCCTCGCTGTGCCGGGGTCCTCTGACGGCCGCTTTCGCGCCCTGAGGGAGCCGAGCCGGGCCGAATTGTTCCGAAGAGCCGAAGAGCCGAGGGTGGCCGAAAACACCCGAGTTGACCCGAAGGGCCGAGGGAACCGGAAATAGCCGAGTTTACCCGAAGAGCCGAGGGTGGCCGAAAACAGCCGACTTGAACCGAAGAGCCCAGGGCGGCCCAAAATCGCCCAGTTTACACCAAGAGACCATGATACCCGACTGGAACCGATAGCCGAGTGTAGCCGACACTGGCCGCATTTAGACAATGTGCCCAATATGACCGAGTTTAGTCGAACCGTGCCGAGTTCGGCCGAAGAGCCGAACTGAAACGACTTTAGACCAAGAGCCGAACCAAGCCGAATTCAGCCGAGTTTCATTCAACAGAACCGAACAACGCCGCAGCGCTGTGCCTGCAGTGCGCCTGTGCAGGGGGCAGGGATCGCTGTGCCTGCAGTGCTCCGAGGGAGACAGCAGGGGGCGCTGTGCCTGCAGTGCGCCTGTGCAGACGGCAGGGATCGCTGTGCCTGCAGTGCGCCTGTGCAGACGGCAGGGATCGCTGTGCCTGCAGTGCTCCGGGACAGACGGCAGGGGGCGCTGTATAAAGTAAGTAGAAAATATCAACTCTCTAGAAGAAGGAATAAAAGCTCTATGTCACGTGCAGCAGTAGAAAATTTCAGGCTCCCAGGGAATAAATAGTTTTCTTTAAATCCTTTTCGTTTTGGAGTTTTTTTTTTTTACTCCCAGGTAGCCTGATAGTTTCTACTGCTGTTTTTTTATTCTAAAGCTAGAAAGGTAAACCAAGATCAGAAATACAAGAAAGGGAAAGGGAAGGGAAAGGAAAGGAAAGGAAGCGGGAGAGCAAGAGGGAAGGGAAGGGGTGAAAAACAGAGTGAAAAAAGAAAAAAGGGTTGGAGGGAAAAAGAGAGGGCGTTCGGGAGGAGCGGTGGTGCCTCAGGTCCTTCCCCGCCCAGGGGTGAAGGTCCCGTTTGATGCCCGGGAGGGACTGCAGGTCCCGGCGCTGGGGGACGGAGCCGTGGCTGTCATCCCGAGACTACAACTCCCGGCAGGCCCTGCTGCCGGCGCGGCGCGTGACGCAACGGCTGACGCGGCACATGACTGGCTGGCGGGCCAGGCGGCCTGCGCGCGGCTGTGCGCGGGCCGCTCCCGGCGCCTCTCCCGCGCGGGGCGGCGACGCTGGACGGGCGAAGCCTCCGTCCGGCCGCCCGCACGGCGCCGAGCAGCGCGGAAGGAGCGTCCGCGGGGTTCCTCGGCCTCCCTCGGCGGTGCCGGGGGCGGGGGGCGGGGCGGTGCTTTGCTGCCGCGGGCCGGGAGCTGCAGGAGCCGCCCCGGGCGAGCACGGCGAGCACCTGTGCGGTTTTTTTTTTTTCATCTAAATCGGGAGTAAATATAGCTGAGTAAAATTAGCTTGGTTTTGTTCCTTCTTTTTTAACTGAATTGTTTTTATTAAAAATCCTATTTGAATGTGTTGAAAAAGTGGGGGTGTCCTGTAATATATTGTAGCTTTTCTTGTTTACAGGGTACTCAGAAAATACGTCTCCCTTAGAGTCCCACAGAAAGGTTCTCAGTGCGATCTCTATCAAGGTATGTATTTCCAAAGAAGTGATCCCTTTAGATATTTGCCTGTGTACCTTTTCCTGTTATTCAGAGCTTGCCTTCTGTGGGTTTTATGATAAACCTGTAAAACCGGTTTTGCAAGTCTTAATCGTTGAAGGCAGCATAGAGCCTGTTCTTGACCAGACAAAGGGAAAAAGTGTGACTTTGAGGCTGAACTTTTTCATTTGACTTGTCTTGAATTATTTAAGAATAGAGAGAACTAGAAAAAGAGAGAAATAGAATTGGTTATTGAGCACTCCTCAAATGCTCACCATGATTCAGTGTAGAGCCAAAGGGCGGGGTGATGGAACAGAACTCTGTGCTTTAGAAGGAAAGAAATTTAAACCTGACCTCCACAGAGTCTCACTAACTTCTGTTGTTTGAAAATACAAAATACGTTCAGGAAGTGTTGGAAGTTAGTATTTTGGGAAAGAAATGGCAGTTCCACAGAACATTGCATTTAACAGTAAATTGGAGGAGAGCCCAAGAGAAATTTTTCATCCCTTGATAGAAGAGGTAGGAAGTGACTTTTTTTGGTTTGGTTCTTTTTTCTTTATTATTTTCTGGAAATAAAAGTAATTAAGTATAGGTACTACTGGTCTCTTTCTTCCAGTAACAGGTGATAATAATAGTAGTAGTAATAGTAAAAATAATAATAGAAATAATAATAACAGTAATGTAATACTACTTAAACTGTCTTTATCCATTGAACTGGCCATTTCAAATCAAAACTTCTAAACACAAATCAAACCATCATCCTTGTAGAATCTTTCACAGCAGTGGGCTAAAGATCCTGGTTTTGTTGACAGGATTTCTTGGTTCTGGAAGAACAAGAGGGAAGTAGAAGCCTAACTACTTCTAGCTCACAGACCCGTCCAGTGAACAGAGCTTTGTATTTTGATGGGCTTGTGATGACTTTGAAATCAATTGGTCATTACAGTAAAAAAAATTAATGTTTTTTTGAACGTGACAGCAGAAATAACTTTAAGCACCAACTTAATAATAATAGATCACCAATTTAAGTTAAAAATTCATGCTATACTATCAAAATTTAAAGGTAAATGATTATGTATTAGGTGATGGTATAAAGTGTATGTTCTAATGTGTAGGATGTATGCAAAGATACATACATACCTGAAAGTCCTTAGAGGAAACAAATTTTTATGTTTGCTGTCTGACTGTTTATCATACAATATTTGGTTTTATTTCGCAGGGCTCGGTGAATTTTAACTTTGGAGTCCTCTATGCTAAGGATGCTCAGCCTGCAGATGATGAAATGTTCAGTAATGGTGAGTTTTTCACTTTCTCTTTAATTGCTATGCTGATCTGAATAAGAAAAAAACAAAAGCAAGAGGAAAAAAAAAGGATGGTTTATTATTTTTTACACTGTGCTGCAGCTCTGCTTACCCAAGCTTTGGGTTCCTTCTGTCCCACTGGGAGTTGCCCAGTTTGGTTGCATCTGGTGAAATTCACCCCGAGACCTTACAGAACTAGCTCAAACTACGTGAGAGCCATTTGCAGTTCTCTCCACACACCTGGAGAATGGGTGACGTTTCTGAGGATGTGGCAACTGTACTTCTATCAAAACTCAGTCTGTGAAATTTTTGGGGAAAACCCTTCTGTGTCCTGAAGGGCTCAAACTCTGCTGAGGATCCAGTTATCAGGTGCTCACCTGGATGGTTCCAGCTCTTAAAGTGAACACTTGTACTCTTGCCCTGTAGTTTACATCCGTTGTATTTTTGTTGTTTTGCAAGATTTTATGTCTTTGCAAAATATTGTGCATTTCGCTCTTTGGAACCTCTCAGATTGTTCTTTGGTGTAGCGCCACCTCATGGGACACTTGGCTGCCGTCCTAAAGGAGATGGTCTCTAGAATTGTAAATTCTGGAGAGTTTGTAAGTCTTCTGTCCCCAGGGAGCTGCCATGCTTTGTTTACTTTTGTTCTGTTGGTTAGGCGCTGCTTCTCATTGCAAGTATGAATTTCAAACTACCCTGTTCTCTTTTTAACTGTTTTCCTGGTTCTCTCCGTACGGCAGGGAAAGACTCTCGTATCCTTGTCTTCAGGCTCGGTGCTGTCCACGAAGATACGGAGACTAAAAAAATCATAAGAAGCGAAATATGACTGCAGGGAAAACAAGCTGGAGAGAACAAAAGGTGATATTGTTATCCTTACCCTGTGTTAGAAACATCCACTGTGCTTTGATGCTGGCAGCTGCCAGGGGCTTGTTAGCTCTTTGTAGGCAGGTGTAGGTGTTCGCTTGTAGGTTTTTTCTCTGGACAAGTCAATTCAAACTTTGCTAAGCTTATATTTGCAGATTACTCTCTAGCACAGTCCAGCATGACATTTTTGAATGCTGTAAAAAAAAACATGTTACTTGGAAATTGCTAATGATGAGAAGCTTTAGGGGAAAATAAGATTTCAGGGTTGGGAGACGTGAGAAGAATTTTGTGGGGATGTTAGACTGAAGTAAAGCACACTTGAGGCTGGACTGGCACGCTGGCAGGTCCCCTATTAAACAGTAGTGCTGAGATTAGCCTGGGGGTTGCCCATTGTTTCTGTAGAAATCAGTGTTTCCTGGTCTTCAGAAGTAAGCTGCTTTGAAAAGCTGGAAGGTGCAGCATGGTGACAATCCGTGTGCTCTGGATTAAAAGTAGATTTCAGAAGGGTCCTAGGCTTTTGTCTTTTCCTCGAAGCCGATGTAATCCTATTGAGGAGTTTTTAATTCTGTGCTGCCACGTCATCGGTCAGGGCCCTGTCGTACTAATCGTCATACAGATACAAAACAAAAAATCGGACCCTGTCCCAACCACTTAGAGCCCAGAACACGATTTCCTCGGGCTGCCGTTTGTGTGCCATCGGCACTCACCACGGAAGCGAGCTGGGGATTGTTGCAGCTGCTGGGAACAAACCGCTCCTCGTCACACAGGAACGGAATTGGGACGACGCCTCGGCCAGCCCCTCTCTGCCATCGTCTCCTGAATCTGCAGCAGAGCAGTTCCGGTCCATCCGGGCACGTGTAATCCAGTTCCCGATGATCTGAGCGCACGGAGCAGCGCTCCGCTGCCGTGGGGGGCTCAGGGAAGGCAGAGTGTGCATTGTCATCTTCCTGAACCTGCAGACGAATCCCAGTGAGAAGCCACAGGGTGGAAATCAGTCGCATATATGCTAAACGAAACTTGCAGGTTTTTTTTTAAGAATTGTTTCTGCTTGTTCTTTTTTGTGCTTCAGCGCTTAGAAAACCTCTCTTTAAAATCAGGTCAGTTCATCAGTTGAACCTTTGTTTGCAGACCCTCAGTGAGCAGAATTTGTTGCAGACTCAGTGCACGCTGTGCCGGCCTCCCGGGAGTGTGAGGAGCTCACGTGTGCTGCTTTTTGCTTTAGGACGCTCTGAGGTATTTATTCCTTTTGGGATACATGATGAGAATTGCCAAGAGACGTAGTTACAAGGTATGACATGGGGAAAAAGCCTGTGTGGTTGGAACGTTGTTGCTGTCAAAAGTTAATTTTTCCTTCTTTCTTAGCCAGTAGTTAGCTTTTTGCTTAATTTTTGTGGTATCATTATTTTATTGTTTAAAAAATTCCTTCAAAATCACTTTGGTGGTTGGTGTTGGCCACCAGTACCTTGTTCAGATTTGCCTATTTGCTTGTAGCTAAAATGTTCACATCTTGTTTATCATTCTATTTAAGAAACTGCTGCCCAGCCAACTAATAACTGAATATGCATCTGTCTGGGACACGGAGAGAGGATTTAGGTAATGTCTTTGTTTCCAGAAAAAAGTTCCAGTGTAGTTTCTAAATAGAGGAGAAGGGGATGAAGACGCGGGGCTCTGATGCCATTGGGGCACCCCAAGGTCCCCAGGAGCGGGAGCCCCGCTGCAGTGCAGGAGCAGGTATGTTCTCATGTAATACTGAACAAATTATAAATATAAATATGACAATTATAAGCATGAAAATATTTTTTAATATAGTTAAACAAAGTGGGTTTTTTCATTTGTCAATAGGCAGTGTTTTGATTGTAAAAATTATAGCTACAAATAATATAAAGGGAGAAATCTAAGTATAGAAATAGAAATATATACAGATATATATAAAATTTAAACCTATAAGAAAAAATTAGTAAATACTTTCCTAGAATTTTGTATCTATTATATATAATTATGAATATAATGCATCAAAAGAAACTATAAATATAAATGTGAATATAATTATACAAAAGTATAAAAATATTTCAATATCGTTCAAAAGAAGGCTTTTTTTGTGTTTATTTGGTTAGAGACGGGGGTTTTATTTGGAATCATAGAAGTATTATGGAAGTATAAATCTAAATATAGAAATATACAGTCGATAAAGAAAGGTATTTATAAGAACACGACTGAACGACGCCGCCTTGGGCCGAATGGAACGAGCTCAGCCGAACCAAGGCGAGACCGGCCGAACCTGAGGGGCTCGAGCGAACCGAGGCCAGGCTTGCGAGGCTGCCTGAACGGAGCCGAGCTCGGCCGAACCGAGCCCGCCGCTCTCGTGCGCGCTAATTAGCGCGAGTGCTAATTAGCACAGCCCAATGAGCTCCTGTGCCACCCCGCGCTCCCGGTCGTGTCGGTACGAAGGCCGGGCCGCCCGCGGGACGCGGCAGCAGGAGCGCCCCGAGTCGGGCGAGTTTAACGTGAGGCGGCGCCGCTTGCCCGCCGTCGGGGGAGGCGAGCCGAGCCGAGCTCAGCCGAACGCGCAGAGAGCGGCTCCGAGTTGGGCCGAAGCGCGCCGAAGGGACGAATGCAGCCGAATGCGGCCGACAATAGCCGAGTTTAGCCGACAGTAGCCGAGTTTAGCCGAAGAGCCGACTGGAGCCGAGTGACTCCGGAGCGAGCCCAGCTCCCCCGAGCGCAGCCTCCCGGGCAGGGCGAGGCGCCGGGCCGGGCTCGGGGTGCAGCCGGGGCTCTGTGAGGCTTCCCCGCCTGTCCCTCTCTCTCGCCCTCCTTCCTTCTCCCCGTATTCGCCTTCTCTCGCTCCCTTTCCCCCATTCCCTCTGCCCCCACAAGCCCGGCTCCTTCCTGTCCAGCCCCTTCCCCGCTACTCCCTTTCTCTTCCCCGTTTCTGCCTCCTCTGTCCACCCTCCCTCTACCCCCCCTCCCGGGCTTTCCCTTCCCGTGCCGCTTTCCTGCACAGCCCGCCCTCCCTCGCCGCCCTTTGTCATGCCCTGCTCTCGCTCCTCTCTTCCGGTGCCCGCTTTCCTTCTTTGCCGCGCAGCCGCGGGGCTCGGGGTGCCGGAGAATGAAGGCCCGAGGGTATGGGGATTCATCCGTGGTGCTGTTAACACAGTCAGAATGGCTCAGTGACTCTGTGCCAGGCTGGTGTGGCCTCAAAGGCTGCCCCTGCTGCTGGCAGAGTGCGTGAAGCGTCTGCTGAGCGGGCAGCGGCATCCCCCCGAACACCTTCTCACAGCAGGGACGGAGATGGACCCAGCCCAGCGCGTGGAAATGGATCTCTCCAGCTGAACGCTCAGGTGAAGCGAGCAGGGAGCGTGCTCAGCATGAACCAGGTGAGCTGCACGTCTCCAGGGTAATGATTCTTGCACCTTCAGAGCCACAGTGTCGCTGAGCTTTTTTTTTCCCCAGGCTTTCCATCACCTCTCAAACAGACGAATGCTCCCCTTGGAGGCTGCTGTGCCCTGGGGAGCCTGGCAGGTGGCCCCGTTGGTGAGAGGAGGGCAGCTGCAGGCAGGCAGCCCCCAGGAAAACACGGGAGTTTCAGTGGTTTCTGATGCCTGAGGAACGGGGAGATGGCGTGAGCTGAGCAGGAGTTAAGCACGGTCGTACAGAGGCCTGGCTGTTATGATTTAAGATGGCTTATTGAATATCTGTAGTTTCTATAGATATTTGTATATCTGTCCAAGTAGGATATAGAGCCTTGTGCAGGAGAAAAAGAACTCTTGATGTAAGATATGACCTGGGGGGGCATCATGCCAGGCTATCCCTTCCAGATTTGGACGGCTTCAGTGTCTTGTGTGGCATGATGGGAAGTTCTGAAAATTAAGATTTCCTCTTTGGTGCGGGTCAGATGGGTGACGCCTGGCAGCTCGTGCACTGCCACTGTGCTAACCTGTGTGCCTCTCCTTCCCTCCCTGCTCCACAGGCAGCGCAACACGGGAGCAGCAGGGAGAGCTGGCTTTGTCCTGGAGGATCCAGGAGCTCGCGGTGGATATCTGAGCCTGCAGCTCCAGGCTGCCGCACGACGGAAGGGCTGCACACACCCAGAGCGTACAGGTACTGTCACAAACGTGGGCTGTGGTGGCTGAGCCCTCAGGAGCTGGCGGTGCCAGCTGGGAGAAGAACAGTAGCTTCCAGCCTTTTCTTTTGTCTGCGTTTCCCCGTGTTCAGTCAGTCTGATTACTTCTGGGCATTTGCCCAGCAGGGTGTGAAATGCTTCAAGGGCTAAAGGGGGAAAAAAAGGGAAACACAAACTATAATCCACACCTCAGGAGGGAGAAGACATCTGTCAGGACAAACTCTTAAGAGAAATGGGATGAAGAATACTTGTTTATTCAGTCTTTGGTATGTGTAGCTAGTTCAAAGAGGTCTCCCAGTCCTTCCCATTAGCAGAGCAAAGGAAGAGCAGCAAAGCCCTCAGGCTAAGCCATTAAAAGCAGCAGCAGCAGCAGCTTCGTGTGCTGGAGTGTGGCAGGCATTCCTAGGTTTGCTTTTTGGTTTTGCATCTAGCACTGGTAGAGGAGAGTTCTTTGCAAGGTGATAGTTCCAGCCTTGTATTGAAATGTGAGCAAAGAGGAACTTTGTCAGTTGGATTGGGGTTTATTCACAGCACTTGTAAACAGAGTTAACATTCAGATAACATGTGCAGGGAGTGTGTGCTGTGGGTTAGCACAAGTGACAAAGGAAGTGGGACAGGGACAGGGCACTTTTCCCTTCAAGGTACTGTCTTTCTCTGGAAGAATGATGTGAGAGCAGAAAAGTTGCAATGGCACTGCAGTTCCCTGCACAGAATATACCCAGGGAGGTGAAGCACAGCCCAGTGGTGCCATTCACCTGCGCCCCAACGGGGAGCATCGGTGAAGTGAGGAGGACTGAGGAGCTCTCCCCTTGAGCAATCACAACAGTCATGTCAACGAGTGTCACCCTTTTCCAGACCACTGGCATGTGCTTGGGGACAATAACCTGTGTTTTTTACAGCCAGGTCTTCTGAGCCGCTGCTCACTGCTCGCAGTGAAAAGAAACTTGTGTAGAGGCACTCTGCAAAATTGCCACCTCAGATGCCACTGAAGCACAGCTTTGGCTTTCAGGCATCTCCCCTGCAAGCTGTCCCTTGCGGCGTTTCCGCACTGGATTCATTGTAAATTCATTCCTCCCATTTTTTATTTGTAATTTCCAAAGAATATCAGTCGACTTTGACAGCCTCTTCAGGGCTCCCCAAGCTTCATACCACACCTAAATGCTCGTTTTCACTGCCTGAAGGGCTTCTCTCACCCGAGTGATTCTATGAATTTGGCCTGTACTTCAGCTTAAGGGGAAAGCTGTACATTGATTGCATTTTGGAGAAAAAGATTTGACCGTCCAGCTGTAAATTTATCTTGTGTTTTGCCTTCCAGGTTCGCTCGTATTGTAATTTGCAAATGGCACGGCAAATGCCACGAGAGCAGCTGGTGAAGGTGGCTCAGAAGCAATGACAAGAATGTGCTGCAAAGTTGGGTCCAGCAGTCCAGCTTCCCGACACGGTAGGGCAGGCACACCTTTTGATAAAGCATCAAACGCTGTAGTTTTTATTCTTGGTGTTTGTCTGCGCTCCCATTCTGATCACCCCTTGAAGTATTATTTTTCAAAATGATATCTAGGAGAGAAATCATGTTTATTCAGGGGGAGCCATAATTTTCATCTGTTCCAAATGCACCAGGTGTGTTTTAAGGCCTGCACACACAGCAAGAGCCGCAGAGCTTGTTGTGCAGTTTCCTGCAGCACTGATTTATTCTGTACTCCAGTAACCATGCCCCGGGCTGCCAGCCAGGCTCAATGCCAGGAGCGGGAGGAGCAGACCCCGAGAGGTGCTTTGGGTGGAGCCCAGCCAGGTTTCAGGCAGCCCGCAGAGTCTGCCCTTGCAGTCCACGCCGGTCTGCTGTTGCCATCTGCTGGAAAAATCCCTAATGGATATTTCCAAAGGTGGGGAGGAGCATCCGCTCCTGTCACGGACCTGCTGGGGGCTCTTTGCCCTCTGGCTCCGTGCGCTCTGCCCAAGAACAGCGTGTGCAGCAGGCTGTCACCGCTCTCTGCAGGGTGAAGCACCTTCAGCCAAGGTCAGTGCAAGAGCAAAACAATCCTGCCAGCAAAGCCTGCTACTAGAGAGGCAAACAATGATCCTTCCCCAAAGGAATTCATCCTTCTTCTCCCTTACAACTCTCCTGTGTCATCACACGGCAGAATGGTTTGGGGTGGAAGAGATGTTGAAAACGACCTAGTTCCACCCCTGTCCTGGGCAGGCTCACCTTCCTCTGGGCCAGGGTGCTGTGCTGTCGCAGATCAGGTGGCAGATCTGTGGAAATTGTAATGGTATTATTAAGGCGTGTCTCTTATTGCCTTGCCATTCGTGAATCCCGAGGCTGTCTTGTCCTAGTTTAGCTTTCTGATGTGGAGGAGCAGAACTGCCAGCTGATATGGATTTTGGTGCTCTCTGTGGAGTGACGTCCTGTAAAATTTCTGTCCCAGGAATGCTGTCACGATGGCTCTGCTCCATAAAGAATGACACGGCCTGATTGTCAGCAATTTTTGCTGCTGCACTAGTGTAAAAATGCTAAAATTTGAACACCGCTTATTATTTCAAAAGAGAATATTTTAAAACTGGAAGAGATAGCTGAAATTACGCCTGAAAGGTAGCAAGAGCAAATACATAGAATATTTCTCCCTGTTTGTAGATATACTTTTCATTGAAAATTATGCTGATGGGGATATGCTTTTATGTATTTAGTGACTTTAGAGATTTATTCCCCGAGTTTTTTGAGTTCACAGAGTCATGGAATAATTCAGGTTGGAAGGGGCTCTAAAGATCACCTCGTTCGGAGCCTGCTGCCGTGGGCAGGGACACGGTTCCATGGACCAGGTCGCTCTGAGCCTGATCCCAGAGCACCAATGGGCCTTGGAACACTTCCAGGGATGGGGCAGCCCCAGCATGTGTGAGCAACCTGTGCCAGCCAGTTGCCAGAGGAGGAAGAAAGCCCTTCCCAGCTGGAGCAGAGGCTGCTGCAGCTTGGCGCAGCCTCGTGTCACCGAGCGTGTGAGGCAGAAGGGCCCTTCCCGTGGAGGGAGAACGGCACTGAAAGATCTTTTTTGGGAGGAGCGGAGCAATGGAACGCCAAAGCAGCCTTCAGTTCTTGCAGCAGGGTTGGGAACAACTGGAAGCAGGAGCAGAGCTGGCCTGGTGCCTGGCAGCTCTGCAGGCAGTGGGGATGGAGAAGGTGCAGTTGTCTGTCTTCTTGGTTGAGTCTTGAAAAATGAGGCACTTTTCTGTAGGTCCTTTTCAAGCATTACGTGGCAGTTGCCCCTAGAAGTCCAAAGGCAGCTGTTTTCTTAGCAGGAGGAAGTCAGGAAGAGGCAAAGCAGGCAAAGACATCAGATAAGTCTGGATAAAAATCTTGGCTAAGCTGTTTTTTCCCCCTCCTCCAAACAGGCAATTCTGAAGCGCTGAGCAGAGATCTGCCCCCGGGAGGCAGAGCAGAGCCGATCTGTGAGAGCTGACACGGGAGCTGTGGTGAGGACAGCTGCTCCCCTGCCTCGGTGTGGGACCTGCTGAGCTGCCGTTCCTGTGCTGGGAGTGTTTCTCCTCTCATGCAGGCAAGCCAGAGAGCTCCTAGGGAAGGAGCAGGTAAGGTTGAAGTGCCGAGATCTCCCCGGTAGGAAGTGCCGTGACAAAAGGAAATGGCCTCAAGTTGCAGCAGGGAAGGCTCAGATTGGCTTTGAGGACCAATTTGTTCACTGAAAGGGTGGTCAGGCGTAGGAGCGGGCTGCCCAGGGCAGTCCCCATTGCTGGAGACATTTGAAGCATGGCAAGATGTGGTGTTTAGGGACCTGATTTGGGTGGGGGCTTGGCAGTGCTGGGGCAGCAGCTGGGCTCGATGGCCTTAGAAGGCTTTTGCAGCCTAAAGGACGCTATGGTTCTGGAAAGCCTCGACCCCTCTGGCTCCGACACCGCACCTGGATGCTGACGGAAGGAGGCTGGTCATGGAGCTTGGAGGTGCCTGTGCCACAGGGAGGGAGAGGGCAAGGCAGCGTCACCTGCAGGGAGGGTCTCGTCCCCAGAGAGCGGCCAGTGACTCCATCCGTGCCCGGGGCTCTGGGTGCACCCTCGGGGTGGACACCTGCCCTCAGGTTTCCCTCTGGGCACCCGGGGAGGGAACCGGGTCCATCCGTGCGGCAGCTCCAGGGCCTGCAGGCTCTGGGGCCCTGCAGCCGTGCGCCCTGTCACAGGGCGGCAGGGACGTGACACTGCCCGGCCGCGCCGCTGGCCTGGGATCCTTGCTGCTTTCCTCCCGATCCCACATGGCTGTAGCAGCAATCTTGTGTCTTTTCTTTAAAAGTGTCCTTGGGAGAGTTCAAAGAGAGGGTAACTAGTTATGTCAAAGTCTACATATTTGACCTGTTGGCACTCAAGAGAAAAGACAGAAACCTGCTTGGCACCCTTGTGCCTGGAAGTCATTGTGACCCAGGGAAGCGAGGAAGGGGCTGGCCGAGGTCACTGAGGCTCTGAGATGGAGGTGAGTTTGCATTCCAGTTGATTGGAACGGAGGCTCATCAGAAGTTTCCTCGGCTATCCAAGGCACAGAGCCCTGGAGCCAGGTGAGCCTGAGCTGCTGCACGCTTGCTGTGAGCTTTGGGGTGAGGGTGCATCGTTGCAGGCCTGGGATGGATTGAAATGCGCTGAGGAAAGCAGAGGGAGGGAGGGAGGGAAATGCTCTGTTAACTTGTGCCAATTGTTCTGTCAGACTCATCACGGCAGGACAGCGTGCAGACTGAAAGTGTGAGAAGATGTGGAGGGGAACAGAGAATCTGACGGGAGCAGCGAACGAGCACGAGTGCAGGAATTTTGCTTTTTGCTTGGATGTAAACTCAGGAGTTGAAAGGAATTTGGGAGTGAGAAGGGACATTTCAGAAGGAGAAGAAGAAAAAGAGGTTGTTGTTGTTGTTACAGTCCTGGCAAAATCTTTTGTTCTAGCTAATAAAAGAAGTTAGTTTAAGAAATAAAAAGAAAAAAATGTAGTGTTTTTTGTTTACTTGACTATTATATTCATTGGTGGTATATGCTGTGTTGTTTTATTTCTTTTTTAACTCTGTGTATTATTAACTCTGTGTGTTATTAACTCTGTGTAAATTGTTTTTTGAGTGAAGCTGACTTTCTGGATGGGTTGGTTTGTATTTGAGGCAGCAGTAATTTCAATAGGATTGTTTCATAGATTTCTGATGGGTATTACTGGGATTTTGGTTTTGTTTGCTGTATGTATAAAGATAGAGCTTTGGTAGGGCCAGCTGGGCTGCTGGAGTTTTGGGTGTTAATTTATGAGATGGCTTTTGTTAAATGCAGTTTTTAATTTTTGAGATGTTTTTCAATGTAGTGGTTTTAAGGTGGTTTTTAAGAATTCATTGTATTGTTTTCTGTTGTTTGTAGTTGGTGTATGATAAGGGATGTGGTGTGAGGTCTTGAATGCTATGGTTTTAGTGTTCCTAAGTTCTGATTTCTTTCTGGTTCGATAGTTTTTTTTATTTTTATTTTTTGGGACAGGGGCATTTATATGGTGGGTTTTTATAGGCAATACGTTTTTTAATTTAGGTAGTGATGTTTTTTAGTATTTTAATAGTTTAAGTTTTTTATTTTCATGGTTTTAATTATTTTTTTAATTTTTTTCAAATAACTTTTCTAGATGATAGGTTATTATTTGTGCATTAGCATCAAGGTAGAGCTTTGGGGACTTTTTTTAGTAATGTTTAGGGTCAGTTGTACAGTTTTGAGTCTCGTGAGTTGGTTTGATTTAATTTTTACTGGGTGTTTGTTTTTATTAGCAGTTGTGTCATTTTCAAGGTGTATTTGAGTTTTTTGGGGTTTTTGAGATAGTGGTTTAGGAGGAAGTTTATGATGAGAATGTGCGGAGGTTTTGGGCTACTTTATAGTGGGATTTAAAATTTATTGACAGTTAGGTTTATTGGAGTTTTTATTAGGGTTCAATGACGTTGTGGGACGTTTGTTCCGTTAGTAATAGCAGTGGGTTTTGTTTTGATGCGCTGCGATGGGACGAGCGTGTGCTGCGTGCCGGTGCTGACAAAGGTACGGTATTGTTGTGGTTCTGGTGCGTGGGGTTAATGAACTTGTATGGTTTAATATAGAGATGAAAATAGAAATAAATATACATTTAAAAATAAATATAACATTAGAGTGGTAGACATGAATATAGATAACAGATACATACATAAAACTGTAATACATGGTATATAATTGTAATATATTATCAAATAGATTAATGATAGTCTGTTTTATATATATATACACAAAGATATATAAATATAGATTATAAATATAAAAACATTTAAATAGAGTTAAATAAATGGGGGGGGTGTTATTAGGTTATAGGCTGGGGTTTTTAAATAAATGATAGAAATAAAATATCAATTCAGATATGCAAATATATATACAAATACGAATCTCTATAAATATTTAATTTAAATAAATATAAGTAAAAAAATATAATACAGAAAATACATATCTATTATATTAGAAGGTATTCTCTCTAATATATATAATATCAATGAATATAATAAATAAAAATATCCATATAAATATGATTATAATTTTGAAAAATAAGTTTACCTCCTACATTTTAAATCTGGTTCACATAAAGGGGTGTCCTTGGTTTTCATTTGGTTAGAGGCAGGAGTTTTATTTGAAATAATGTAAGTAATATAGAAATGTGGATCTTAAGATAGAAACATATAATAAATATATAAAGAGAAATTGCTAAAGTATTAATACAAATTTATATATAACTATATGGAAGTAATATGAAGAGTTGTAGTATAGAATATAAATAATGTTATACAGCAATATAAATTATAAATGGGAATATAAATATAAAAATATGTAAATATAGCTTAAAAAAAAGGGAATGTTTTGGCTTTTATTTAAGTAGAGGCAGGGGGTTTTTTTTGAATATTGTAAGTGTTACAGAAGTAAAAATCTTGACGCAGAAATATTTAATCAATGTATAAAAATATATAAATAACTACTTGCATCAGATGTAATATAGAATATAAATTTGTTTATAACTTGACATTGATAAAGATAAATGTATAAGTAAGCAATAGACATTAATATACATTATAAATACAAATATGAATATAAAAATCAGACATAAGGATAAAACCTATTTAAATATTGTTTAAAAGAAAGGGTTGGGGTCTTTTTTATTATTGGGTTAGAGGCAGGGTTTTTATTTTAAATAATATGAATGTAGATATTATTGTTATATATTTCTAAATATTGAGATATACAATCAAGATCTAAATATATATATAAACACAAAATAGAAGTAAATAGAAATAATAGGAAGAGATGTAATGGAGAATACAAATAAGAGTATACATTAGTATACATTTTAAATGTAAATGTGAATATGAACCTGAAAAATGGAGTTTTAAAAAATATTTAAATACAGTTGAGAAGACTGGGGTTCTTTTTGGCTTTAATGTGGGTAGAGGCAGGGGTTTTATTTTAAATAATGTAAGTGTTGCAGATGTAAAAATCCTAACACAGAAAGATATAATAAATATATAAAGATATGAATAAAAGTATATAAAAAATATAAGTAATAGGAACACATGTAACATAGAATATAAATTTATAGCTAAATCGCTAAATATAAATGCAAAATCGATCATACATCAGTAAACATTTTTAATATAAATTCGGAAAATAATTTTTTTTAAATTTTAAATACAGTTGAAATGAAAGGGGGTTTTATTTGCCATGTTATGGGGTAGAGGCAGGGGTTTTGAGTACTGTAAGTGTTACAGAAGTAAAAATACTAACAGAAATATATACTTACTATGTAAAAATATGTATAACAATATACAAATAAATTTAAGTTTTAGGGATATATGCAATATGGAATAGAAATGTATTCATAAAAACAAATGTATAAATGGACAGTATACATCAATATACATTATTGATAGAAATGTGAATATTAATATAAAAAAACCTTTTTTAAAATATTTAATTTTTTTTTTTAAGAAATTGTTGGGGTTTTGTTTTGTTTTTTTTTATCCTATTAGATTAGAGGCAGAAGTTTATTTTTCCTCTTCCCCGTTGTTTTGGGGCATTTATTTCAGAGCAGTTTTCGGCGGGGGCCGCCCCTGTTCTTTTTCGCCGCCTTCCCTGCCCGCAGCCCCGAGGCGCGCTGCGCCCCCGGCTGGGGCGTGCGGCAGTGCTGCCGCCTTGTGGGCAGAGCGCGGTACTGCAGCCCTGCACCGAGAGGCCGCCACCTTGGGAGTGGCGCGTCGCGGGTGTCGCGGACTTTTAATTGACCTTCTCAGCATGGCGGCGAAAAGGGCGGGGAAGTGGAGGACCGGGGTGGGTGTAAGTGGACTGCCTGCACAGAATACCGACGTCATGGCGGCTCCGACGGATTTTCTGTGGCATTTCAAGTGTACCCGATACGGGCTGCGGGCTCAGGGGCGCCGCGGGCGGGCGTATTTTGGCGGGTTTGTGCCAGGCATGTGGGTTAAACGCCTCGCTGTGCCGGGGTCCTCTGACGGCCGCTTTCGCGCCCTGAGGGAGCCGAGC